TGGTTTGCATATTGTTTGTGGTTTAGTTTGAGTTATTGTTCGTGTTGCCCGAGAAAGCTTCCGCTGCGCACAACAATTGGTATCAGAGCTAGATCGACAACATGGGAGATGCAAGCATGTCAGGTTCATCTCTTACAAAGGCGATACAGAGTCTGAGCATCAATAACACAAAGATTGATGTTCCGAAGTTCGACGGCAAGATCAATTTCGGATTGTGAATGTGTCAGGTGATGGATGCTTTGGATGCACAGAATTTGGAGGAGACTCTTGAGTTAAAAGAGAAACCCGCAGAGTTGGAGGATAAGGTTTGGAGAAAGATGAACAGTAGAGCTTGTGGTGTTATTAGGTCATGCTTGACGCCGGATCTTATTTATGATGTTATGAACGAGACGTCGGCGAAGAAGATGTGGGAAACACTCAATGAGAAATATCTTACGAAGAGCATTGAGAATCGGCTTCACTTGAAGAAGAGATTTTACCAGTTCAAGATGAAGAGAGGGGTTTCCATCAGGGAGCATGTCAACAATTTCACTAAGCTACTTTCAGATATGGCCAATGTTGATATTATAGTTGAGGATGAAGACAAGGCGATGCTACTTCTGTGTTCGTTGCCCGAAGATGATTATGGTACGTTCGTTCTCACTATGATCAATGGAAGAACTACAGTCAGCTACAAGGAGGTGACCTCAGCTTTGGTGAACTATGAGTTGAGGAAGAGTGATGGTGAACCCTCCGAGAAGGCATCGGGAGATGCGTTAGCAGTTCGAGGCCGAGATCCAAACCGTCGCCAATTCAACCGCTCAAAATCAAGGAATAGGAGTTCCTATAAGAGTGTTGGTAGAAATCAATGTCGGTATTGTAAAGAAGAAGGACATTGGAAGATTGACTGCCCAAAGTGGAAAGAAAAAGCCGGGAAGAATAAGGGGAAAGCTGCTCAAGCTTCAGAAGTGAATGTTGCAAAAGCTATTGGTGAGCATTCAGATTCAGACTCAGATTCTTCAGTCTATTCATACCCTGCATTACCGTCGGTTTGCTATGTGGATTCCACGGAGTGGATGATGGATTCGGGAGCTACATATCACATCTGCCCTAAGAGGGAGTGGTTTTCTAGCTTTGAGGAGCTGGAAAGAGGGGATGTCGTGCTTATGGGTAATGATCACGTATGTCCTATTGGTGGTATTGGTTCAGTCCGAATTAGGATGCATGATGGTGTAGTGAGGGAATTGAAGGAAGTGAGGTTCATGCCACAGTTGACAAAGAACATCATTTCTCTTGGGTCTTTGGAGGCAACAGGATATCGAGTGATCTTAGAGGATGCTACAGTGAAGGTCACGAAGGGTTCTATGGTGGTGATGCGAGGTGTCAGGGAAAACAACCTATACTACTTGAAGGGCAAGACAGTTACAGGGGGTCTGGCAGCTTCTATCACTACAAAGGAGGACACTACCACCTTATGGCACATGAGACTTGGACACACAGGAGATAAGTCCCTACAGTGCTAAGACCTGCAAGATGGAGCTGTGTGAGCATTGTGTACTTGGGAAGAAGACTAGAGTGAAGTTTGGCACCGCTGTTCATAACACCCGAGGTACTTTGGATTACATTCACACAGATATTTGGGGTCCTTCCAAGAACACATCTCTTGGGGGGCAACTATTTTGTCACTTTCATTGATGATTATTCCAGGAGGAATTGGGTATACCCGATGAAGCATAAACATCAGGTCCTGGATATTTTTGTGGAGTGGAAGAAGAAAGTGAAGCTGCAGACAGGTAGAAAGGTGAAGACTCTACGTTCAGATAACGGTGGAGAGTACAAGAGTGATCCGTTTCTGCAGTTTTGCCGGGATCACGGCATTAGAAGACACTTCACAGTTCGAGAGACATCGCAACAGAACGGGGTGGCTGAGAGATTGAACCGTACCTTACTGGAGAAGGTGCGGTGTATGATGACACAGAGTGGATTGCCTAGATCCTTTTGGGCCGAGGCGGTAGTTTATGCGAGCCATCTCATGAACAGGTTGCCATGCATTGCGATAGACGGGAAGACTCGTTTGGAGCGTTGGTTTGGTTCGGTGGCTAGTGACTATGAGTCGCTTCGGATATTCGGGTGTCCAGCTTATTATCATGTTAGTGATGGTAAATTAAATCCGAGAGCGAGGAAAGCAGTCTTTGTGGGATTTAGAGATGGAGTCAAGGATCCACAGGACAAGAAGATAGTTATTAGCAGAGATGTCACATTTGACGAGGCGTACATGATGAGGCCTCGAGCCCCTCAGCAGGTGGAGGGAGACCAGACAGGAGAGATATCGCAGCAGGTGGAGGATGATGTGACTCCACCCACTCCAGAGAGCACTGTATCCATCGATGCTCCTACAGAGGTGACACTGGGAGGAGATGAGATGATAGCCGGGCAGATACAAGATACAGTGGATCATGGGACTCATGAACAGGGTCATGTTCAGAGGTCCATTGCAGCAGATAGACCGAGGAGAGAGATTCGTCGGCCAGCTAGGTATAATGATGTCATGGTCGCATATGCATTATCAGTGGAGGTCGTTGATGATATGGTTCCAGCCACATTCAGGGAGGCAGAGTCTAGCCCCGATTCGATCAGGTGGAGGGAAGCTATGGAGGAGGAGATGCGGTCTCTTCAGAAGAACGATACTTGGACACTTGCACATCTACCTAAGGGCAAGAAGGATATAGGTTGCAAGTGGGTATATGCGAAGAAGGAGGGATCTTCTATTGGGGACATAAGGTTCAAAGCCAGATTGGTTGCCAAGGGATATGCACAGCTTGAGGGCATTGATTACAACGAGGTATTTTCACCCGTTGTGAAGCATTCGTCGATACGGATTTTATTAGAGTTGGTGGCACAGTTGGATTTGGATTTGGTCCAGATGGATGTGAAGACAGCCTTTCTACACGGTGATTTAGATGAGGAGATCTACATGACACAACCACAGGGTTTCAAAGCTGCAGGAAAGGAAAATTTGGTTTGTAAGCTGAAGAAGTCTCTTTATGGTTTGAAGCAATCGCCCAGACAGTGGTATAAGAGATTCGATGGCTTTATGATTGGCCGAGGGTATACGAGGAGCCCATATGACCCATGTGTTTATATGCACAAGCTACAGGATGGTGAGCTCATATATTTGCTTTTATATGTTGATGATATGCTTATTGCTTCCAGGAATTCTTCAGCTATTCGAAAGTTAAAAGATGAGCTGTCATCCGAGTTTGAGATGAAGGATCTTGGAGAGGCAAAGAAGATATTGGGTATGGAGATCGAGAGAGACAGGGTGAAAGGGAGTTTGAAGCTTACACAGAAAAGCTACTTACAGAAGATGTTGAAGAAATTCAGCTTTGATGGCAATGCAAAAACAGTTAGCACACCATTGGCTCCCCACTTCAAGCTTTCAGTATTGATATATGTCACCTGTTTCAGTAGAGGACAGAGATTATATGTCGAAGGTTCCATATGCTAGTGCAGTAGATAGCTTGATGTATGCGATGGTGTGTACGAGGCCAGATTTGTCACAGGCCGTGAGCATGGTATCGAGATACATGCACGATCCCGGGAAGGGTCATTGGGAGGCCATGAAGTGGATTCTATGGTATGTTAGAGGCACTGTGGATGTTGGTTTAGTATTTCAGAAGGATGAGAAGGATGGGCAGGCTTGTATTGGATATGTGGATTCAGATTATGCTGGAGATCTTGACAAACGCCGGTCTACTTCAGGTTATGCTTTTACATTGACAGGTGCACCTGTATGTTGGCGTTGCACGCTTTAGTCCACAGTAGCTCTCTCTACTACAGAGGCAGAGTATATGGCAGTTACTGAAGCTATTAAGGAGGCTTTATGGTTGCGTGGATTATTGGAGGACTTGAAAATCGCTCAGGAGACTATTCGGGTATATTGTGATAGCATGTCGGCTATCTATTTGGCGAAGAACCAGGTTTATCATGCGCGCACGAAGCACATCGACGTCAGATTCCACTTTGTACGGGACGTCTTGGATGATGGAGATGTCATATTGGAGAAGGTCCACACAAATGACAACCCTGCAGATATGTTGACCAAAGTTGTTTCAGGAGTGAAATTTGGTCATTGTTTGAAGCTTTTGAACATCCTTCAGCGCTGAGGCCTTTGGAGGCCATTTGGTTGAACTACGTTCGGCTTGATTCCTTGGGCAAGAGGATACGTAGGCAGTCTTTCAGATGTAGCCGGTTTGATCAGTTGATTCAGATGGGGGGAGATCGTATTTCAGCTCTAGTTTGGTTCCCTAACTTGTTGAGGGACTATTGGATGATTTGGTGTCGGCTCAGTTTTGGTGGAAACATTCGCCGAGTTGGAGAATTGAAGAATTACAGTAAACAGGTGAAAATCAGCAGGTAGAAGACAGACAGATCAGCGGTCGACGCGGTCGACCGCGAGACCTGCGCGGTCGACCGCCGCGGTCGACCGACGATGTTTCTGGGCTGGGCTTCAGGTTTTTGACCCGATTCGTTTTGTAAGTTATATATATCCCTAAACCTGTTTTGTTAGGGTTAAGCAAGGACGAATTTGAGCAGTCTTTGAGAGAGAATTGTTGCATCCAATTGTGGGAGAGTTGTGAGAGATCAAGAGCTTTGTTTTAGGGTTTGATCTGAGAGATTTGTAATCCTACTTGTATTCTCTGATTTCTAATAGTAAGAACTCCCCCCTCCTTGCCCCGTGGACGTAGGCAACTTGCCGAATCACGTAAATATCTTGTTCTTGCTGTGATTGTGGTTTGCATATTGTTTGTGGTTTAGTTCGAGTTATTGTTCGTGTTGCCCGAGAAAGCTTCCGCTGCGCATAATATCTTCTGCAGTCAATACTACACTGGACCTTGTCTATTGCAAAACTAAGGAGTTAATTGCATGTAGACCCACGGGCCTATCTGTCAAATTCAAATTACAGGAGTAATAAGTTCCTAAAAGTGAATATTTCTGCGGAATCTATGTGCACTTAATCATTATCCCCTTCTTTCTTGCTCTTCTTCTTGTTTTTCACTTCTTTGCCAATAAATTTATATTAATACAAGTTTCAAGATAAGCAACAACATAGGTATATACCGTTGGCTGCTAAATTCTAAGTGCATAAGATTTCACATAACAAGAAAATCTCAATCGCTGGCGTCTGCGCAATCACCTTCTCCTATCTTTGATGCTGTGTTGCTGCATCCTGTACTAGATATCAAACCTGCATCACTCAGACTGTAAATATCTTCCTCACTTTCTTCATCCTCCTCCGGCAAATGGGACAAGCACCCGCCTCATCCGCTATCCTGCAGTATCAATAACTGACTCATGTCAGTCTCTACCTGTATGAAACCGATATTTTTTTATTAATTGCTGACAGACGATCCGAGTACTGTCACCAGATTTTGGATAGACCTCCCGTTGTTCTATTTGTTGAACTGTTGAAGATAGACCCCCCCAGAGTGAAATACGTTACATGTTTGGGAGTTTACTAGGGGAAGGGAAAGGAAGATAAAAAGAGGAAAGTAGATAGAGAAGGAGAGGGAAAATATAATACGTCGCTTAGGAGTTTAGTAAGGGGGAATGGGGGTAAAAACTTAAATCATTTTGTTTGGAAGTCATAATAAAAGGGAAGGGGAGTGAAGAGTTGGCCAATGCTTTGGTATGATAGAGGGTAAAATTGTCTCTATGCGTTAAAAATTTTATGATATGCTCTCTTCCCTTCCACTACCACCCGGCTCAGGGGGAATGAAATTGCCGAAACTTTTATAGAAACTTCCCCTCCCCTAAAGGGATCTAACTGCAATTTGGTGATAGTACAGGCGGTCTATCCGTAGTTAACCCTAAAGTTTAAAGGGTGGTTATGGGGTGTAGCTACTTCTCGCCCCTATTTTATTCTACACCAGATGTTTTTTTTTTTTCCTTAGTTTATAATCTATATAAATCTTGAGGGAATTTTCTTGGAAAATACTAACTCTGACCATCATGCATGTGATCTCATGGGAGCTTAAACACTAATGGACAAAACATGAGCCACCGGAGCCAGGCAGTGGCGGATCTACACAGTTTCTAGTGGTGTCACAGGACTCCATCGGATTGCCTATAAAGTATGTTCTAATAAAATTAAACAAAGATGATAAAATAGCTATACCCCAATAGTGCAAGAGGTGCATCTGCAAATAAACCAAATTTAAAAGAATGCCAACTTCATATATATATCAATCACCTTGTTGCGCAAGTGAAACATGTTGCACAATGCCCACAAGGCAGGAAGAAGCTATCCCTCTGAGCATCACAACAAATTGCACAAAGTCGACAGGTTTCATCAGCTTCTCCCTCATTTACCAACTTCGACGAAACAGTGAGAGGTTCTTCAACATCGTCACCATTGGAAACAGAATCATATGATGACCCCAAGCTTGAAGAATCATTGTCCTTATTTGGTAAGAGGGGGCGTCTTTCTGTTGTGATATTTGTATTCTGTTGACTAACACCGTTCAAGGAGCATAGAAGTAAAATGATCTTGAGGGTCAACAGAAACACTGTAGTTATCACACCTGAATGAAGATAAAAGGGATAGAATAAGAAAAAGGGTAGGTTTGGCATGCGGACCAAGGGAAAGTGCATTTTACCTGAACCGATAATGTAGGATGTCCACCGTGGGCCATACGATAGTTTGACATACCATTCATCGTTCTTTGCATCCTGAAGCCAAAGGCAGGTTACTGAGTATTGTAATGGAAAAATATCCAAGTACAAAAATGTTTACACTATTGCAGGCTATACGCAAATTTACTGATTTAGAGTATAATAAGAGGTGCATATTTTAAAGCCCATGTATATGAATTGATGATATTAGGCTACTTTTTCAGAGAAAAGAGTAGATATGCGAAGGTTATGAATTGAGAACATAAAAGGATTCTGATAAAAAATATTCATTGCAATTGAGGGATTTCAAAAGAAGGATCTGGCCTTCTGCATATTTACAGTTTATCTCAAATAAGGATCATAACAGGCCATACTAAATCATGCAAGATCAATTTTTATACCTGTTGTGGTCCAGATGTGGTTAGGATTGCAACACTCTCACTCAGAAAGAACAGCCTCGAAACACATAAACTGTGGCCTAAAAAGCACTTGTAATGTGCTCCTGTAGTATTGTACAAGAGAGTCTGAAATCTAAAATCTAAGCGAACCTGTTTTGAAAAGGGAAGCATTAACTTGGATAGAATTCAGTATACAAAAAGTAGTTAAATATTAAATACAGATACAAAATCAAATAGAAGATGGCATGTTAAGTGTGTTATCTATGACACCATTTCGAAATATTACAAATTAAGTTTGAAGAGACAATGTGAAGTTAAATATTGATACCTATTCCATGTGAACATCATGTACAACTATTTACTGGAAGTATTTAAGTCAAACATCACATTTACATGTAAATTGATGATGACAAATGCCTCACAAAATTGGGAAGCGAAGCAACAATAACCAGTTTACCTCCATTTCTTGTTCGTTGAGATTGCCAACAGCTATATAGTAATCAGAAGGCTTTTCAACGTTCAGCTGGATCGTATCATTTCCTATAATAATCAAATTGTAGCTCCATGAGGATAGAAATGAGATGTTTAATCCAACAAATTTGAAATATTACATAATAATTACCAGTTATTAGATTCCAAGATAGCTGGGTACTTGGATGGGATGGGTCCTCGAGCCATTGATTTAGGCTTTCACTACCTAAACATACCCAGTCCACAGAATCAGCAATTTAAAGGATTCTTTATAAAGTTAGTTTCCAACTTTCCATTTCTAAGTGATGAAACAAATGGAAAACTGCAAATGGATGAACGTTCTTGCGAGAATCTTATGATTATAAGATGATACATGAGATGTGTACCCTTCACAAGCATCAGTATTGAATCAATTCAACCAAAGTTGATGTCGAATAGTGGATTCACTACTTAAAAGTTTCGCTTACCTAAACCAAGGACAATGGTAAGAACATTTGCATATATACATGAAGACGCATGATGTTAAATAGAGGACATGCAATGCAAAGTTAAGCTGCTGCAAAACTTTCATATCAGCTTGATTAGTACTAAGAGGATAACTGACATTGGAAGATGATTGCTCTGACAAGTTATATTGTTCATGAAAAACTCTAAAACAACAAACACAAAGTAAAAATGCACAGTGTCAACATCGATATAACATTCAAAACAAGAGGACGCTTACCTTGGGCAACAACAAGGATCAAAGGCTGAGATGTGTTAGCTTTCACAGTGTAAGAGATATTAATTTGTGCTTTATCATTGAGATAATATATCCATTCCTGTCACAGTTTCATTAGCTAAACTGGCATCATTATTCATGAAGATAAAACATGAAAAAAAAATAGAACACACGAAAAGTTGCTACAAGTAGCTCAGATACAAAGTAGTAGAGTTCTTACCTTGTGGAAATTTGCGGGGATAGACACATCATAGTTTTCTGACCATGTAGTTTGTACATCAAGTGGTGGAGGCTTGGGAAATGCATAGAGCATAGCAACACCATGTCCAGTCTCTCCAACTGTTTTCACCTAGATACAAGAAAGTAATCCAAGCCAAATTCATTCTGAAGCATGTCGTCACAGTTCACGTCAACTCATTATAATCATTTAGTTAAAACAAATTTATCCTGCAGGTGGATCCAATTTATCCATCAAGAATTCGCAACTCTTCAATGAAATAGAAGAGGGGAGCTAAAAGTATATGCACACCTCTACGTCTTGCACGAAGAAGGTATTGGCCTGCACGAGCCTAGAGCAATTAGGACCCAACACAAGATCAACCGAGCCAAAGATGCCAACAATTGATACCAGAGAAGCTGCTTCCATTAAAATTACAAAAATAAATACCAATCCATCAAAAAAAAGCAACCAATTAGAGAGAGAGAGAGAGAGAGGATTTCTCACCGAAGAAGCAGAAAGTGAGGAGAATGACAATGCAAGGGAAAATGTCATATCTCGTGGTGGAGGGGGTCGAATTGTTCACTAAAACGCGGACACGGTACGAGATGGATGTACCAGGCGGCGATGGTGGTTCTTGATTGGCATGATGAGATGAGGAGGAGGAGGAGGAGGATGGCGGGAGGGGAGAGGTTATAAGGAGAGAGTCAAGAGAGGGTGAAAGAGGGATGACTTCGTCCATGGAAAAGGAGTGAGAGAAAGTGAGTAGTGATGGAGAGTGTTCATGGCTAGCTACTGTGTATTTTGGTTAGAGAGAGAGAGAGAGAGAGCTAACAGTCAATTTTGTGGAAGGAGAAGGGAGAATGGCGGGTGATAAGTGCTTGAGGGGGAGCATGGGCAGAGGAACGGTGGATGGTTCAAGGGAAGAGGAGGCTGGTAGTTTGGAGATAGATTATGACGAAAGAAATACTCTATATCCTACGAATTAATTATGATTGGCATTTGTTCAATCTCAACACATTCTTTTAAAAGGCTTTTATAATTATCAGGTAATGTGACGCATATTATTTTACAAGCTTGAAAGTAGTACTCAATCAGTAAAGATGGTCTTTGTTTGGTATTTTAAGAATTGAACATCAAATTAAATACAGACGGGTCTCCAAAATATTTACTACTCATCTCATCTCATCTCAAGGGCTTGATGAAGTTCAGGAAACGAAGTTGGAGCGCATCCAGGTTGATAAAGCAAGTGTTCGTCACTGGGGAATGATGTAATAATAGCCATCAAGAGACTCCATTTTTGCTGGAAGAAGGCTTAAAGCATCTCCTTTGGGTATTTGTACGATTTCATGCTTTTTCTATTCAAAAGAGGAAGTACGACCCAAATAAAAATAAGTGTTGAATACCAAGGACCTCATAAACCGTTTCCGGAGGCAAAGGAGACAAATCAACGCTCAAAAATAACATCCATCATTAAAGAAGTCTCAGGCTCTCAAGCAAAATCGTTCTACTCGAAGTACAACTTCAGATGGAGCAACGCGAAAAATCAAGAATTTATAACAAAAGCGCATTCGGTTCTTTCGTTGCTTCGTTTTGTAATTAAGCATAAAGTGTGATCTGTCATGCTCTCAGACATCACACTAACTTGAACACAGAAACAGCAGAGAAAAGCTCCCAAAGGTGTTCAGTATAACACCTAGGGGGATTATTGGTTGGGACGAGTTCCGGCCGAATAAGATAATTGTTTTAATGGAACATTTTTATCCGTTTGGGATATTTTGAGTCGAGTAAAGTGGAATAAGTTTGGATAATCGGACATTTTTGAAGCTTTGATATAATATACGAACAATATATTTGATATAATATTTTAATAATATAATATTTAATTTAATATATTAGAATTTAGTATCATAGGATATAATGTACTGTATAAAATACTATAATAATTTATTTTATTTGGTACAATATTATTTGAAATACTACATTATAATTAGAATAAGATAATATTTTATGTTAATTACTATAATATATATAGAATATCTAAAACATATTATATTATAATACAATGATATATTTCATTATATTAATATAATATATGAATATAATGTAATATAATATCACCAGATGACATGATTTATATTACTATTATATTATATCATTAAATATAACATTCTAACATATTCAATAATTTTAATATAGTTATTATATTATAGTATATTATTATTTTGGTTTAATATAATACAATATAATATCATGGCCACAATTAAATATTAACTACAACTAGTATAATATCTTATATTATAATATATATTATTAAAATATTCTATTATCTTATAAATATAAAATAATATTATAATAAATATATTGTACTATTTTTGATATAATATAGTATGTGATATTGCATAATAATATATAATAGAACAAATTATACATATAAATTAAACTACAATAATATTTTATTCTATTACATGATGATATAATATAATATAGTGAATATATTATTATTTTATATTTTATATGTGTCATATATATTTGTAATATAATTAGTATGCATTAGTCAAGTTAAGTAATACGAAAGATTTCAAGAGGATTCCAATTGCCTTCAAAGTGGAACATGATTGCTCCAATGTGGAGGATAGAGCAAATCTTTATTATTAGGGCAAAAATTTTGTATATGAGTGGGAAAATTTTATCCCAAGTGTTGAAATTGTCCCACTAGTGTTCTAACAAAGCAATAACACCAAAATGTAGTCTGCATATTCCATTATTATCATTACAATATAAAGTAGAATCCCCAAAAATCTCTCTCATTATCCTTCTAAATTATCCACCCAAATGTCCGAATGAATAACCCCCGTTAGAGCACCCTGGACTACAGCATTGTGGGGTCTCGCATCGTCTAGCATGCACTAAGAGCATCTCCAAGGGTTCCCTTGGATGTCCCTTAATTTAGGGGGTACTATTGGGGAAGGGATTGGTTCTTCTCCAATGGTTCCCCTTAAAAACCCCCCTACCCCTTAATTAATTATATTTAGTTTTTTAATTTTATGAATTAAGATTTAATTAAATATGTAGTTTATTTATAAATGAATAAATAATTAAATATTAATAACTAAAAATAATTAATTAATTAATTAATCTAAATTAAGAAATTACTTTATATAATCATTAAATTAATTAATTAAATTAAAATTTAACAAATAACTAATTTAGATAATAATTAATTTATATAAATCGTGTTAAAAGTTAAATATTATTTTAATATTAATTTTATTTAACAATAATATCTCAACGATCATATTTCAATGGTCATATTCTAACGGTCATATTTCAACGGTCATATTTTAACGGTCGTATTTCAACGGTCGTTTTTTAATTAAATGTGGTCACTCCTTCTATAAATAGCACTACCAGTGTCCTTCATTTTCACTAAATTCAAATTCATTCAATTTTTTTAACTCAATCTTCAATATTATTTATGGCTAGTAATTTGTTACGTGCCTTGCTACAAGAGGAAGAGGATGACGACGATGATGATTATGCGACCTTATTAGCAATTGCATCTTTGGAAGAACACCACTCCAGCGAATGTCAAAGTTCTCGTCGTCGTGGTTCCATTCCAAGGCACGCTGTAATTCAACGCAATAGAGCTGAAGGTCACGAGAGGCTTTTTCATGATTATTTTAGTGAATCTCCTGTGTATCCAGCAAAACTATTTCGAAGGAGGTTTCGTATGCATCGCCCACTATTTTTGCGTATTTTATTCGCAGTGGAAACACATGATTCCTACTTTGTCCAAAAACGGGATGCTGCTGGGAAAATTGGTTTATCCTCACTACAGAAAGTAACTGCTGCTATGAGGATGCTTGCTTATGGTGTATCAGCAGATTCTGTGGATGATTACGTGCCGATTGGAGAAAGCACCGCTATAGAGAGTCTCGGCAGGTTTACCAAAGCAATTGTTGTAATTTTCGGTGATGAGTATCTAAGGTCACCAACTGACGAGGACACTGCAAGATTGCTTGCAATTGGCAACGGTGATGAGTATCTAAGGTCACCAACTGACGAGGACACTGCAAGATTGCTTGCAATTGGCAAACAACGAGGATTTTCTGGGATGTTAGGAAGCATTGACTGCATGCATTGGAGATGGAAGAATTGTCCGGCTGCGTATCATGGTATGTATACTGGTCACAACCACACTCCTACAATAATTTTAGAAGCTGTTGCTTCCTATGATCTTTGGATTTGGCATGCTTATTTTGGTTTACCGGGAGCTCTTAATGACATTAATGTGTTAGAACGGTCTTCCGTTTTTTCTCAACTTGCTGAAGGGCATGGTCCGACTGTTAATTATACAGTCAATGGTCATGAATACACGATGGGATACTACCTTGCTGATGGTATATATCCGTCATGGGCAACATTTGTTAAAACAATTTCTTTACCACAAGGAAATAAAAGAAAACATTTTGCTACACTTCAAGAGTCGGCAAGAAAGGATGTAGAGCGAGCATTCGGGGTACTCCAATCACGCTTTGCAATTGTGCGTGGACCAGCTCGCTCTTGGGATGAGAAAATATTGAAAAATATTATGCAAGCATGCATAATAATGCATAACATGATTGTTGAAGATGAAAGAAATGATGAGTATATCGACTTCACGTACGATGCTGCTGAGGAAGCCCCAACTATATCAGTGTCTCACAAACGTACAATAGATTTGTGTGAATTTATTCAGAATCATCATCGCATTAGAGACAGACAAACTCATTCTCAATTGCAATTGGATCTTGTCGAACATTTATGGGAACGAAATGGTGGGCTTTAGTAAGGGATTTGTATGCTGATGTAATATTAATGTCATTTAATTTAGTGTTGCAAGTAAAGACCTGTTAGTTGATGTAATATTGATGTTATTGAATTTCTATATTAATATGTGATCATATTTGATTTTTGAGAAAAGTTTCCATTTGCATAAATAGAACTTCATAAAATATTCAAATACGATACATCATCTTCAAGTACGATACAACAAGAGTAAATTGAAATACATAAGAGCACACTAAATATGATACATCATCTTCAAGTACAATACATCATCTTCCTTCTAATTTGAACTACCACCACCAAATTGCCTTTCAAGAATTTCCATCTTCAACTTATTGTAATACTCTACTTGCAATGGAGGCATGCCATCAGTGTTAATTGTCATAATCCTCTCATCTTGTTTCATCGCTTTCAATCGCATTTTTTCCTTTTTGATATTTTGAGCTTCTTGAGCGACCTGTAGTCTAGCTTGCTCTATCTTTATGCGCTCTTGCTCCTGAACATAAATTTGACCAAATAATTATGCTCTCTTTATTTCTTTTTCTTTCCGATCCTGCTTCATTTCATCAATAAACAACATCACTGGTGTAATCGATCCTGCTTCATTTCATCAATAAACAACATCACTGGTGTAATTTCAGAAGCCACATTCTTGTCTTTACCTTGTTTCAACCTTTCTTTTGCAGCCTTTCTTCCTATGGGCCTTGACGAACCCTCAGTAGGACATTCATCTTCCCTACAATTTATTAAATCTGGAGTTGCAGGAGAAGATGTAGCAGGACTTGAATTTTTTGACCTCTTAGATTTTTTCATTGAAAATTGGCCAAGCCACTTTGGATGGAACCTTAACTCATTCCAACAATGTAAAAATTGAAAACTTGCTCCTTGCATGCTTTGAAACATTTGCATCGCTTCCATAATCTAATTAAAAAATAAAATAAATTTACTAACATGTAAAAAGTAAAACAATTAATAAATTATATAAATCTAATCAGTTTAAATAATTTGAAGCCACAATTAGTACCTTGTCATTCTCTGTCACGTCACTTTGATTTCTTGCTTCAATTTGATTAAAACACCCACAAAATTTACTAACTGCAATTTGAATAGCGGACCAACGGTGCTCTAACCCTTTTTGATCACGATCGCTACTGAATGTTTTGTTTTCATGATAGTAAGTTGCTACTCGGTGCCAAAATGTGGAATATTTTTGCAATGTCCCTTGCACTGGATCAATGCTAGTGTTGATCCATGCAGATACAAGCAAGGTGTCTTCTTCGATCCGATATTTTGATTTTCGCATTGACTTCTTTTGCAATGGTATATCTTTTACCGTATTTTCTTCTGGTATGTCCGGCTGAAACGATTGCTCTTCATATTGATCTTCCCATGGATAATGACTAGTCATCAAATTGACATAATATGGATTATTATTTTCTGCCATCTACATCAGTATAAATCTCACATGAGTATGATTTAATTAAAATTCTCAAATTGTTAAAAATATAAGAAACATGAAGTGCAGTTATAATTAAACAAAAAATATAACCTACCTTAAATTGTAGTATATATGATGAAATAGAGGTAGAAATAATGAAAGAGTGAAGTGTGAAAGTGAACATCAAGGTAGTGCCTTATTTATAGGGTAAAAATTAATTAGATAGTTTTAAAAAAATTAGCTATTCTAGCTAAAAAAAAACAAAAAAAAAGCCTATACTAGAAAAATAGCCTGGACTAGGAAAAAAGCCTATACAAGAAAACACCCAATACTGCAAAGACAAAACCTATAATTAAAAAAGCCTATACTAGAAAAACAACCTACACTAGAAAAAAAGCTTATACTAGAAACACACCCTATACCACAAAGACAACCTATAATTAAAAAAATCCTATACTAGAAAAACAGCCTATATTAGAAAAAAAAACCTATACTAGAAAAATACTTTATACTAGAAAAAACAACCTATAATTAATAAAAAATATCAATAAAAAATTATAAGAGGTACATTTTAAAAAATATTAAACAAATTAAATTAACTATACATTAATTTAATTATATTATTTTAAATTAACTATATATTAACTAAATTTAATAACACATAAATTAACACTAAAAGAAAATATATTATTATAAAATTATAAGGGGAAGGTTAAGGGACTTTAACCTTCCCCTTAATCTAGGGAGAAAGTTTAGGGACTTGGGGTGTAGGGGGAACTTTTCCGGTCCATTGGAGACCATGTCCCTTAAAAACCCCTTAATTTAGCTAAGGGGCCGGATTTTTCCGGCCCCTTGGAGATGCTCTAACACCGCACAATAAAAAGGGAACAGTGAAAGAATAGACCTTCTTTTTGAAGTCACGAGATCGTCTTCTTCTTGAAATGAAGGTTAGGTTGTGTTGCAGATGCGTAAACACGCAACCTTAAGCTTGACCAACCTGGAGGCAATTAATGCAATTCCTACGTATCATTTACGTTCAAATGGAAAACAGGTAAAAAATTCATGGCAATGTAATTTCGCAAATGCGTTTGTCTGAAATTAATCTCTAAGCTGATTACTGCTTCAGAGCATCAATTATTTCAAATTTACTCTTTTAAGCAGAAGCAAAGTGAACAAACCAGAAAGTTTTGACAACAATCTTTTGTCAGGTTCACAAAAACACACAAATTTCAAGCGCTGTGCACGTGCATTTGCCTTCTTCCCACCATATCCCTTACTGAGAAACTGCCCATTCTATCTCTAACCTGAATATAAGCATATGCAGCTTGTTATACCACCAGAAAATATGCGATATTTAAGCAAACTGTCATGAATGGCGAATGTTCACAGAGACATTCACTTCGTTTGACACGCCTATTTGGTTGGATGTTGTTGCAAAAGCAAAATAACTTGAAAATGCAAGAGCTTTTGTTGCATTCAAGTGGAAGTCCGACAACAAAAGTTGGAACTAGATAATGGTGTAATGCACTTGGTGTTTCAACATCTCATGAGTCATAACCAAACACACCGTACAGAAGAAGATCACGATGCTTCAAATAGCATGTTGTTAGGTTAATTTATGTTTTTCATGTGGTCATAAATGTATGAAAAATATATATATATCTCCTTTTTTGCTTGAACATAATAAATTTGCTCACTAATTTCAACTTTTTGCTCCCTGCAATACATTTCCACGTTTATCCTCCTAAAGCAATCGTCTCCTTCACAAATAAGACTGAGAGTCATGGGCTCTCTAAAGCCTAGGGATGTTAAACCTCAACTAACCACATTGCCATAGAGCAGTATATAGGGGACACAACCATTCGAATAAGTAAGAACGAAAATAACACCTACTCAAGCTACCCACCTTCAAAGTCACTCATGTAGAAAGAAAACCAGTTATAAAAGAATAGCAACCATACATACAAACAGGCATTCACCAATAACTACTCATGATTACAGCCACAACAACTAAAACAATTATTTCTCATGCACATATTCACTGTATTCCATTCAAAGAAATAAATATGTAGAAGGAATTCTCATTAGACACGCCTTGCTAATCCCTGATGTCCATCGAGCTTAAAAGGCTTCAGATCAATTAAAACAAAATGAATTATCCGCTATTTTAAAACCAAAGTCATAAATAAAAACCGTTAGTATAAAAGTTCAAACTAGCAATCATCCAACATATTTGTGTTTACACTTCATAGTTAATGCGTTGACAATAGCAAAGCACATAACTTGCATAATACGACCATAAAACAAACTTCAGGTATGAACTAGGTTAACTCGACACTTCATCTAGGCTCACGAACCGTGTCTGACACTTCCTGCAATTGTGTTTGACACTTCCCATACCTGTGTCCGCGTTCGACACTCCTTCGGCAATTCTTGAATAAATACATACATGTATTTAGACATGTACTCCATTATATATACATGTTTTAGTTTAAACACTCGTGATATACTTCTTGGATGTATATCTTACCCTTCACCTCAAATTTCTGCATTTCGTTAGGACTTGGGTGGGGTTCGTTTCAGCCCGTACACAATTCATAACTATGATTTTAAAGGGTCATTTGAGTATCTAGTCAAAAATTCCAATATATAATCTACTCTATAAATGAAACATAAAATGTTCTAGTTTAAACACTCGTGATATGTACTCCTTCGGCACTTCTTGAATAGAGACACACATGCATTCAATTATGTGTGTGTGTGTGTGTGTGTTTTAGTCTAAACACTCGTGATATACATCTTGGATGTAACTCTTACACTTCAACTCAAGATTTTGCATTTCGTTGAACGTGGGTCGGGTTCGTTTCAGCCTGTACACTATTCGTAAGTATGATTTTAAAGCCTTGTTTGGGGGCATCTGTGTAAAAACAAGTGGTTTCCAATTTATAATATACTCTATAAATGAAATATATAAATGTTCTAGGCATTTTCGTTCTCATAACATATGAATGAAAATACAATATGGAATATCATATAAATTATTAATTTCAAGATGTATGCGTATAGTCATGTCCCCATATCCTACCTTTTACAAATTTGTCATGTGTCCTGTATCTACACCTGTGTCTGAGTCCGCACCCGCACCCGTGCAACAGAAAATATAACAAACATTCCAATTATCCTACACCCTACAAAATGTAATCTAGCAAAAACAATAACAGTTTCCCTCACTTCTGCTTGTGTACTCATTGATATACCCCTCCTTTCTTCCTAAACCCTACAAAATGGAATCCAGCAAAAATGGGGAAGGAATTCTCATTTGATGTCCCTTGCTAATCCCCCTATGTCCATCTAGCAAGGTTTCACAACAACTAAAACAAAATGGGTCTTTCAGTATATTAGGACCAAACTCATACAATAAACTAACAGCAAGAATTTATAGAAGTTCTAGCTAGACATCATCAAGATAGTAGTGTAAACACTTCATAGTTACTCTAATTGAAAAGGGCTAAAGCACGAACCTTGCATAATTTAACAATAAAACGAACTTCAAATGTAACAAAGATTTCAAAATTCCTACACCCTATGAAATGTAATCCATCAAAAACAATAACAGTTCCCCTCACTTGTGCTTGTGCTTGTTTACTCACTGATACACCCCTATTTTCTTCCTAAAACCCTACAAATGCAATTCAGAAAAAAAAAAGGAAAGGAAATCTCATTGGATATCCCTTGGCTTAAAGCGCAGCCCCCCCCGCCCCCCCCACCCCACCCCCCACCCCCCCAAAAAAAGCCATCTAGCTTAAAAGGTTTCACATCAACTGAAAATGTAATCCATCAAAAAACAATAACAGTTCCCTCCACTTGTGCTTGTTTACTCACTGATACACCCCTATGTTCTTCCTAAAACCCTACAAATGCAATTCAGAAAAAACAGGAAAGGAATTCTCATTGGATATCCTTGCTTAAGCAACCCCCCCCCCCCCCCCCCACACACACACACACACAAAATGCCCATGTAAGCTTAAAAAGGTTTCACATCAACTGAAAATGGGTGTTTCAGTACTTTAAAACCAAACTAATATAATAAGCTAACAGCAGGTAAAGAATTTATAAAGTTGTAGCTAGACATCATCAAGATACTAGTGTAAACACTTCATAGTTAATCTAATTGAAAAGGGCTAAAGCACGAACCTTGCATAATTTAACAATAAAACAAACTTCAGATATAACAAATATTCTGAAATTCATATACCCTACGAAATGTAATCAAAGGAAAAACAATAACAGCTCCCCTCACCTCTCAATCACCAAGCTCCTTCACTCAGTTAACATACCCCTCTTTTCTTCCTTCAAACCCCGGCCTCATGAGTTTCTTCTCCCTCTTCTCGATCTTCCTCATCTTCTTCTGATGAGCCCTCTCTTTAATGTTACCAGTCCTCGTCTTCTGCTTCTCATTCCTCACGCTCTCCCTGCTCTCCACCCTCTCCTTCCACTTCTCAGCATGTTTCTTCTGCCTCTTCTTCTCCTTCTTTATACTCTCCTTCAAAAGCTTCGGGTCATCGTGCACCTTCACTCCCATAGCCCGGCTCTCCGCTGCCTTCCAAGAATGCTTCTTGGCTACAATCGCGCCCTTTTCCGGATCCTTCTTCAACTCTTCAAGCTTCCTCGCCTTCTCCAGCTCCTGAGCCTTGGACATCTTCTTCTTCTTCCTCCTGCTCCCATCCTCATCCCCAATCTTCACTTTCCCGAAAGTAATGTCCGCCGCCACGTTCTCATCTTTCCCCTTCCCCTTCGTCTCCTCCAGCGACTTCTCTTCATTCTCCCTCTTCCTCTTCCTCTGATCATTCTTCATAAGGTCGTTCTTCGGCCGAGTATTACGACCAGACCGCAGCTCCTCGATCCGACGGTGGAGGCGCTGGCGAAGCTCCTCATAGGTAACCGATTTCTCCTCGGGCTTAGGGTTACGGTTAGGGATTTCATCGTCGCCAGGGTTATCTTCGTCGGGTTTGATGGATTTCTGGAGGAGGTCGAGGGTGGATGAGGGATTCTCGGGGTTGAACCGATCGCGGCGAACTTTCTTGAGATTCTCGCGGGATTGCTTCTTCAGGGAGGCCTTGGCGGCCTTGCTGAGGCCCTGGAACCATGGCCGCTCGTCGGCGTCGGGGATGGGGAGGAAGAATCTCGCAGGGATGAGCTTGACGAGGTCGTCGATGAAGACGGAGGTGTCGTCGATTAGGGTTTTGAGGGGTTGAGAGGTTGCGGGGATTGAGGTTGTGGGTTCTTGAGAGTCGATTTTGGCGCTCGACTTCTTCTTCATTGCTAGGGTTTGTTTTTGGGTTTGGGGGTGAGAAAAGAGGAGGGCTGCTGGAATTAGGGTTTATATAGGGTTATTTCCACTTTTGGTACCGTAAACGATATATACGCTGTTGTGACTTTGATATCTCAATATTTTTCTTCGACGCTTTAAACTTTTTTTTTTTTTTTAAATGATAGCGCCTTGATAACCAAAAGTCTTTTTTTCTGGCACTTAGATATTTCAAAGTTTTAAACTTTGATATGTAATGTTTACATGTTATGGGATATCAAAGTGTTAAAAACAAAACTTTCAGATATCAAGTTTAAAAGGTGTACATATTGGGGTATTAAGGTGTAAGAAAAGAAAAACATGGAGATAACAAAGTTTTTTTTTAAAATGTTGTGAACTAAAGTATCAGAAAAAAAAAACTTTTGGATATTAAAATCAAGAATAAAATGATCAAGTTTCCTTATAGTATAACTCTCATGTTTCCCCTGAGTATTAGTTTGCCTATTTTACTTTTTAAACTATGTGAATATGTGTAATATGTTCATTTTGTGAGAGCCAACATTTAAATATTTAACAAATTAATAACGTGATATTTTCTTTTACTTTCTTGTATTTTCTGTGATTTAAAGAAATAATGTTACATTTGCCAAAAAAGGAATAAAAGTAAGAAAAAGCTTTGGGAAAAAGTAGTTTTTTGGTTGATAAAAATCCATGAAGAAATACAAAAAGACCGTAGTCACATCATTGATTTGTTAAATATTTAATTGTAAGCTCACAAAATGACCATATAAGATACAAAATAGGTAATATTTCACAGGTGAAGTTGAGAATTAACTAATACTTTAAGAATGACTTAATTATTTTGTCCTAAATTTATGTGTAAACTTTAGGGTATAAAAGTGCAAATATATAGTTAGAGGCAAATTTTTTTGGTTTCATTTTCTTTTCTTTTTTTTTTTTTCATTGTGTTTTTCTGATATATGACCTCCAATTCTATTTATTTACAATGAGTCTCCGTAAACATGTATATTTTAAGTCTCTCTCAAATTTAAGTCTATCAGAATAGATCTTGTTAACTCCAATAAATTCAACCACAGTTGGTGTTTCCCATTATTCACATCAACTTTAAATATTTATATATTTAAAATATGTTGTAATGGTAAAATCGACACATATTTTGGAAATCCACTTCCCAATTCAATTGAAGACTATGTGGCCTTAACGAAAATAAAAATAAAAATACTCATTGTACCAGGGTCCAACTATTCACACTCCCAAACAGTAACTTTGGGGGTGTGTGAGGACTAAATTGCCATTCTCCCAAACCAAACCAGGCCAAATCCATTCCAGAAACACCCTCAACATCAAAAGGGCATTTTCGGCAATCCAACTCCCAAAATTACTGTTTGGGAGTGGATATAGCAAACATGATTGTACCATTACCAAGTTGTAGGAAATCCACAGACTACAAATCATGAAAAATTAACACTCTAGAGTCTATTGGATTTTTTCCAAAAAGGAAAAAAAAAACTCGAGTACCCTCTTACATCTTTATGTCCTGTTGATACAGAAAGAACGTGTCTATTATCCAAGATTTGGTAAACAAAAAGTGACAAATGTTTAGATTTAAGTAAATAAAATTAAATAATGTATAAGATAGTAATCATAGTATTGAGACACTCTAATGAATGCAGTAGAACAAAAAGAACCTAAATTAGTAGCAAAAGGAACTGTATGCAGCTCAAAGATTTTGTACACTTTACCCTATCCGCAACATGTAACAAGTCATTGAACACAAACATAACACATTTTCAACTTCACAGGGTATCCATGAACACAAACATAACACATTTTCAACTTCACAGGGTATCCAACCAGGCCGGCCGACGAAGAAATGCCTGGCAAGCAAACTTTTATTTTGCTTGATAAGTATATCAACAAGGCAGCTCAACATATAAATAAGAAAGCAAAAAAAATCCTGTGACTTTATTTTTGTTAACTAATGAAGACACCTTATACCTTCCAGGGTCCTAGCGCAGCAAAATAAGCAGGAAAAAAAATGAAGCCAGCCGTGGAGCTCAGTTTACAAAATATCAACATAGAAATCAAGATTTAATGAAAATCTGTTGCCAGCGGATCTTATTAAATATTTCTCCCATACAACATAACATAGGAAAATACCAACGCTGCTTATGGTTACAAACGTCTAATGTTCGGTTGTGGGTTTTTTTCCCAATAGCAGCTATGTGAGATCATCTAAAACGTTTGCCATGTGAAAGAAATGTTAAGAGACAAGCAAATAACGCCGCAGCAGACAGCATCACGATTTTGATAGGAACTTCAGAGAAACCATACGATGGAAAGAATTAGAACTTTGAATACAGAATGTCAACTAGTTAAGATAAATAGTGTCAGCTGATCAACATTAACGTTCTTACGGACAGTGTGTTGCGCATCAAAATATGACCCAAATTGCATATCAGTAGATATCACATCCTCCAATCTCCAAAGAAGCAGATTTTGTTTTTCAATCTCACTGTAATGTTGCCAAAATCGTAAGAACCAATAAACCTCTGGGACCAAATATGACTCCAAGAGACAATTACTTCAACTTCACTGCAGCAAATTTTGATGCAAGATCCATGGCCTCGTCAACTCCAGTTGCATCGCTTCCCTGCAGTTGGATAAAAAAGATTTACCAGAAAATGAACACTAGGATTTCGTTGCAAATATATTTTTTTTCTTTAAAGAATGTTTTACCTGTCCTTGAGCCACGCCATTTTTACCACCACCTCCTCTCCCTTTAATAGGTCCCATTGCAGCAGTCAGCCACTCTAACACAGCAAGACCATCCTTCGATCTATTGTTTGGTACTCCAGCATACACAACTGCCTTGTTAGAGGCTTCATCAGAGCTAAACACCATAACTGCTAGTCCCTGTGATATCCATAAAAAAGGTAAGTGATGTGTAATTATAAGCAAACATATCTATGGTAAGAATATCACACCCAAGATATTCTCATTATATCCAATCAAATACCCCACCCATTAACCGCACTTACGCTTGCACAGAGAATATATTGAGAATCATAGTCATGTGTACTATGCCGTTAGACAGCTATAATCGCCTGAGGTAAGTGATTTTCTTAAACAGGAAGAGAGACAGGAAATGTAAGATTGCAAAAAAAAAATTTGAAGAAGTTTTGACATGAGATTGATAAGTGAAATTTCAAATTGTATTTCAGTGCGGTGTTAATTATCTACTTCAAAATCAACGCTGTGGAAGAGGACGTCTCCGAAGCTATGGAACACCCACAACACTTTTTCAAAGACAGGAAATGAATTAGAATGCAACAAGGACAGAGTTATCAACCCTTTTTTCCATGAGTTTAAGAACTGCTTCTCGAACAGCAGTAGTATCAGAACCGACATCTACTCAGGTGATACAGAAAGATTTTCCTTCAGAAATAGCACCCTCAGCAATTTCAGAAATAACGTGTACTATGTCGTTAGACAGCTATAATCGCCTAAGGTAAGTGATTTTCTTAAACAGGAAGAGAGACAGGAAATGTAAGACTGCAAAAGAAATTTTGAAGAAGTTTTGACATGAGATTGATAAGTGAAATTTCAAATTGTATTTCAGTGCAGTGTTAATTATCTACTTCAAAATCAACGCTGTGGAAGAGGACACCTCCGAAACTATGGAACACCCACAACATTTTTTCAAAGACAGGAAATGAATTAGAATGCAACAAAGACAGAGTTATCGACCTTTTTTTCCATGACTTTAAGAACTGCTTCTCGAACAGCAGTAGTATCAGAACCGACATCTACTCGGGTGATACAGAAAGATTTTCCTTCAGAAATAGCACCCTCAGCAATTTCTGTTGCTGCCTTCACTGCTTTTTGGATATTTTCCTCTCCGATCTTCTTTTTGGCCTTCCTTACTTTATCCTGGTTTTAGAGATCACATTTCATCAGGCATCAACTTTATAATAAATAATAAGCTATTGAACAGATGACAAGGATGAAACAGAGAGATTTTTTAGGAATGTCAGGCATAAAAGTAATTGTTTTGTAAAATGTTCACAAACCTCCAGCTGGGATATCCTGGCCCGGAGATCAGCTTTTCTAGCTGCAGGAATAGCAGCCGCATCTGTCTTACTCTTCAGGGATGCAACTTTCTGCCAAGCAAAAAAAAAAAGGAAAACCGAAATATAAGCCTCAGTTCTAAGGAAAGAAATGTACTGTCTCTGAGAAGAATTCAACATTCTGTAGAGAGAAGCAATTAACTGGCATACAGCAAGCTTTCTTTAGTGTAGAATAGTAAATGCATCTTTCTGAGCGGCTGATGTGAACTATCATTTTGTATGTGGAAAACAGTTTGCTTCATTTTTTGGCTGGTATTGGAGCAAAATAGTCTTTGTATCGCATTTAAGTCCAATTCCAATAAAAATGTTTCTGGGAATTGGGATAAAATTTCTACATTCTGTTTTGCTATTTTTCTTGTAGACAAATTTTGGATGCATGCTCTTTTACTTCCTCTGCACGGATTTAATCCTAGATTCATATGCTTGTTCCTTGAAACTTGGTTTCAGAATCTCTTTGCAAACATAACGATGAAAGTCTGCCACACAATATGTTGTAATCTTTATGATTTGTTGCTTGCATCTTCTACTGCTTTTAGGTTATTTTCCATACGTACCTTTTTAACCCAAACAAAAAGTTATTGAGAAAGTTGCTATGAAGCCAGTTTCGTTGTTCTGGATGTTAGTTGGATGTGTCTTTGGTTTCTGTAATGTTGAAATCATTGAGAATATAGTTACCATGGGCTAAACTAATAAGGTGGATGATATTTTCATTGAGGCAAATAAGTGCGGACAAGAATTAGATTAAGTTGTATAGAAACATTAATAAGATGATCAAAGTTCACATAACCATATTATTGAAGCAAATAAGTGCAAACAAGAATTAGATTAAGTTGTATAGAAACATTAATAAGATGATCAAAGTTCACATAACAATGTGCACTCCGCTTCAATATGTTAAAGGTATATTACCCATGTCATTTATGCACCAATTATAATCTTACGTAACTCATGACTTTCAAAGTTACCACTGCCATTTTAGAGTACCTTCTCCAATAAACTTCCTTCTGCTTTGGAAGCATCGGTTATTTCAGCATCAAGGGAGTCTGCCAATTCTTTTGCATTGGCGGCGCAATCAGTTGTAACAGCAGTCACCCTTCGAACGCCCTTAGCAATTCCCTCCTCAGATAGAAGGGCAAATGCTTTGGCCTCTCGAGTATTTGATATATGAGTACCTGGTGCAATTCAAAAACATTACTTATATAGAAGAAATACATCGTAGAAGAATACCCCAAATCAGCTAGACCATACGTTAATTTAGCAAAGGGATGTACCTCCACAAAGTTCGGTTGAGTATGACCGCCATTCCTTGCTCCCTGGATCTGCTAAGAGGTCTTCAACTTTGCGGCCAATTGATACGATTCTGACTGGGTCAGGATAAACCTATGCAGCATGCAAGATTTATTTTTAAAAAAACTATGCACTAAATGACCTTCAAAATGTGCACATTTGCTTAAGAATTAAGAATCATGTATTTTTAAAGCGTACTTCTCCAAATACAGCTCTCAATCCAGTTATACGCTTTGCAGCAGCAAGACTTGCTTCATTCGCGAATACATCTAGTTCATCTTTAATTTGCTTGTTCACAATTGATTCAATTTTTCTCAAATCCTCCGGGTGAATAGGTTTTCCTGTTACAATTAGAGGTTTAGGTTAAGGTTATCCTCTGTTTTCTGTTATAATGAGAGCACACGTATATGTTTTACCATGGGAGAAATCAAACCGCAATTTCTCTGGAAGCACTATGGATCCTTTTTGATCAACATGATCACCAAGAACTTCCTGTAATAGTATACAATGATAAGTACAGCAACACAAAACCTAGAAATGCAAACTTGAGCAACATAAACCTTAGATTTGCATACCTTCAGAGCAAAATTTAGCAAGTGGGTACATGTATGATTAGGGGCAATAAGGGTACGCCTGCCATAGTCAACCTGTTCCATTAACAGAGGATAGTTCATTTAACCAATAACTACAGATTGCTTTGAAGTATAAAGCAGCAAAGACACAAGTATTTCCAATTATATTTCACCTTGCAAATCACTTCATCACCAACTGACAAATTCTGGGTCCCTCCAGAGAAAGAACCAATATGAAGAACATATCCTCCGTACACCTGAACATTGCTAATTTGAATTGATCCAAATGAACCTTCAAGGAAACCAGTATCATATATCTGCAAGCAAAAAATTCATCAGTTAAAGTAACAACAATTTTTGTAGAATGCATGTGTTAAGTTGAACGTTATATCTTTTCAATGCCACAAAAAATGCCATGTTCAACAACATTCAAGATAAATACCATAAGCATAAAAGTTCATTCAGAGTGGATAAATTTATGAAGCCAACAAATGTAATGGTTTCCAAAAAGTTATGAAGTACCTGACCACCTTGTTCAGCATAGAAACTTGTACTTTCCAACACAATACCAATATCAGAGCCAGCAACAGCAGTCTCTATGAAATCAGCTCCTGTATAAATAGCTTTTACCACAGTTTTATGGTCCTAGTGAAGGGGGAAGAAAAGAATAAATATAAAATGACACATGTATAAAATATTAAAAATTGAATGTGTTTGTGAAGTTTACATACAACCAAAAAATGGTCAGAAACATCGGAGGAAAGATCAAGGAAAATTTTTCATGCAAACATTAGAAATGCAATTTGCTGCATCAATAAAATTAAGGAAGCTAGTAGAATCTCTGAAACTATCAATAATAGAGGCAAAAAATTGGAACAAAAAAGAATTGCACAATTTCCAAGAGCCATTTAATTCACGAATTAAGATAGGTACGGTTGAAAAATTATATAGACGGGGGTTTTAGGCATATGTTCTCATCATGTTCGTACTGTCCTAATTCAAAACTAAATTGTGATAATAAAAACAAGATTCTAATTTGACAACAAAAATTTAAATCGTAATGATTTCCAGAACGCTAACCTTGTTCCACGTAAATTTGTAACTATCATCCGTTGTAGTCACCCCCTTCTTGTGCAACACTGATGTAGCATCAGCATCCATAACTATTGAGTCACCAACTGCCTGCCAAAAAGCAATTTAACCATAAAAAATACAAGAAATAAACGAAGCATTACTAAAGCACCTAGCGTTTAATGAAAAACTTCCAAGAGAAAATCAAGCTCAGATTGATAGGTTATAAATCAAATTTGATAATCATAAATGCTACAAACATATGGCCAATGCGCATATGGATCCAAATTACAGTATAAACTGACTTGTGTTGCACATGAAAACAAACGACACCAAATAATTACAATACAATACAATCTGACGAAGGATGCTAATTAAGGATGCAAAATAAGCTATAATATTGTGAATTAAAAGATTCAAGTGTTGATAATAAGAAACTGTACTACTGATTAAAGGTGCAGACAGTCTACCCTTGTTCTTGCTCGTAGCTTCTCAAATATTGGAAGATCTTACAACAATCTCTTCTGAGTAAACTACCTAAGACCGAATGCCTTCAGCCATCTATGTTCCGTTCAGTCTCTTTCGGAGTACATATATTAACCGAATATCAGCAAGAGACAGCTCAGCTCAGAAGCATGGTTCTATTTCTTTCCTTGGATTTTATCTTCGCTAGTCCTCTACCAAGCATCTTTCTTCAAAATTGAAGAACGTGGATCCCATTGACAACCACTGTACCATTTGTCCAGTGTTACTAAGTCACTGGTCTTCTCCTTGTTTCCTTAATTCTGGCTCGACTTCATATATAGCTTACTCCTGCTTGAGTCTGTAACTGAGTCATTTGTTGCGCCTTCTTTTCATCACATACCAAGGGTCCATACTTGATCGCTAGGAAGCTGCCTGCTGCCCCATAAAGCACTACCCACTTCTGTCTATTTCTAAGTGGCTACACAAGTCAAATTCATGTTCATGGATAATTCCTCATGCATGTGGCATGAAAGACAAATTTAATTTCTGACAATAATGATCCTAAAAGTGTGATTGAACCTGTTTTATTTCACGTGAATAAAATCTTCTAAGTGACTTCTATCTAAAACATCACAGAAAATACTCCTAATTTATGCAAGTGAGCTTGTATAAAAGTGTAAGCTAATATTAGCTGAATATGCTACATAAATGATAGGAATAAAAATGAATTATTCTCCATACAGCGTGCCAAGAAAATGGAAAAAAGCAGCAGAGCTCCATGACTAGCATTGCCTATAAAAATAGACACCTTCAATGGCACAACTTAAACCCATACGTAGAGACAGAAACATAATCAACGAGAAGTAAAAGGTATGAGATATAAGATACAGAAAACATACTTTATTTCGAGCACTTCTGGCTTTCTGCCTGGCTTCCTCCATTGCAACATTGAAACCTTCGACATCAACCATTAGACCCTTTTCTTCAGCCATTAGCTAATAGGGAGGTAATAAAAGGGAAAAAATCATTATTAGAAGAACAAGTTCCTACTACTTAGGCAGGTAAGGATGCATATTACCTGTGTCAAATCTAATGGAAAACCATATGTGTCCCACAAAACAAATGCATCCTGCAACCAAGAAAATCAAATTAGATAGTAAGATATGCACAAAAATTATACATAATGACGGACAATTTTCAAGTAGATTCTAATCAGAAGCTTAAAAGGAAGGGTAAATAAAATTTATGGACACCAGAAAAATTAAAATAAAATGAGGAAACATTTCAACTACGCCAAATACTCATTTCATGAACTGGGACCGATCTGAAGCAGAAGGAGCAAACTCAGCAAGTTGAAAGGGAACAAACTTTTCCAATTAATCTTAATCATGTGACTGATGATAGAAAAAAAAATTGCCAATAAGGGACCAATGGTATAAATTGAAAATGCGACTGCAACCACGAGAATAATACTCCTGTTTTGTCACCCAAACAATAACTAATGAATTAACTGTTAAATTATTCAGTTCTAAACATGCACAAGATTTCAAATACTAAGTAAGCATCAAACTAGATTTTTTTTATATGGAGTTCAGGACTGAAAAAGCTGATACATTAAGGAACACGTCTCATATACATCGATGAATAAAGGAAAGGTTTATTTAAATGCTGATGGAGGTTTATTTTCTTCCTTCTTTTTTTTCTTTTGCGTGTGTTTTTTTTTTTTTTTTTGGGGGGGGGGGGGGGGGGGGGGGTTTTTGGGGGGTT